TTTCCTTGTAAGGAAACGGCTATCATTATGATTAGCATTTGTGCGACCAATTTTATTGCTATTGCCAGACGATACGTGTTTACGAAAAGAGGAATGTGTTATTCACATAAACAATAAAAATACTAAACAGAAGACTAGAATATAAAAAAAAGAAAGTTTATTACGACTCTTTTATTATATTAACAGGGCCAGTTGCAGAAGCTGAATGAAGTTCGTTTCTCTGTAATAACAGATAAGAGGTCTGTGTTTTTCTTTCGCTCACTCCTGAGCAAGACACACAGCAGCACTTCATTGTCAGTGTTTAGTCCTAATTATGAGTAAATAACCTGGTTATTACCGAGAACGAGAGAGAACCACAGTTTTCCTATTCTCTTCATTTAGTCCGGTGCCAGCCAAGTGAAATAAATAATGATAAAATATATAGTTATATGTTTTGATATTCGGACCAGCATGCTCATCATTCGTTGATATTCCATCATCTAAAAGAATTCCGACAAAAATTATTAAATTGGTACGGACCCGGTATAATATACCAATGAAGATGATTGGAAACAAATGTAATATGCGATTCATGTCTGGAAAAAAAAAACCCCAGAAGTCTGAATCAAAGACAATCTCAATTAGAAAACATCGATCTAAGATGAGTTGATCTGTGGAGAACACAACAAGTGACGGAGTCATCCTAAAAGATAACTTGGTGTCACAATAGAGCATAAAAAAAACAAGGTTCATTATAGGGTTGACTTAAAAAGTGTCCACACGTCCACCAAGTACTGAATCGGACCTCCAAGGATTTCAGTGACTGCATTGACAAGTGAACCCGGCTGAATGTAAACGCGCGCGCGCACACACACATACACACACATACACACACATACACACACAAATATACTGATACACACACACACACACACAAATATACTGATACATATACACATGCATACATACACATACATACAGACATACCTGTCTATATTTCTGAGATGAGGTATTATATACACTATTTACATTATTCGGACTATTGTCCTCATCTTTGTCGCCATATTTTTTACAGCTCACACTCTTTTGTCTTGTCACTGGATCCTTTGGGTCCTGTTACTGTGCCTCGTGTCCTCGAGGACACATAGCACAGTGGATAAAGGCGTTAGTTAGATCCAGTGACAGACCCAAAGAGTGTGAGTTCAATACCCGGTTAAGGCAGTGGAGAAAGGGAATTAACAGGAGATAACTGACAACTGACATTCATTAAACATGGCACGTGGAACTAGAACAGTCTACCCCAGTGACCGAAATAGAGGGTTCAGTTCGACATTCCTACTACCTGAAGAAAGCCGGAGCGTACAACGGCCAAAACGTTGTAATAAATATGGCGACGAAGATGAGGACAATAGTCCGAATAATGTAAATAGTATACAGACATACACATACACACACACACAAATACACACATATAAACAGACACATACACACCTACACACATCAACATATATATAGTCATGCATATGAACACACAAACATACACATACACACATACATAAACACACATACATACACACATACACACGTGCACATACACACATACATACAAGCATACATACACACATCTAGACATACACATACACACATACACACACATACACATACATACACACACATATACACATACACACATACATACACACGTACACACTCATGCATACACGCGCGCGCACAATACAACCAGATGCCAGGAAAGTATATAAATTCCCGACTCATGTAGGGGAAACTGAATCTATCACATCCTTGGGAGAAGAAGATCGAACATTTCTTCGAGATCCTACGGCCGACATTGATTTGTAGGCAAGTGAATAGACAATAATTGCATGCGTGAAAGACTTAAATTTGTATCAGACGCATTATTACCATAAGGTTCTCCACTTGAAGAATGTTGAAGTGGTCAACGGCTGAAAAATTGTGAGCCAAGATGAACATGTTGCCACGAAAAGCAATGCGTACAGTTAGGTTAATTCCTCATCTAAAAATTTCTGAGCAAAATTATAAACAATAACTTTAATATTAAACTTCTCGCACTGCTCTCTATTAATCACCACAGAGATCCTTCCCTTCCCTCCATTAGAATGTCTGACGCTCAACTTCTCGAGAGCAACTCTCTGCGGCTTCTCGGTCTCACGTTGACTGCTGACCTGAGATGGAATAAATACATGGAGTCAATTGCTTCGTCCACCGCAAGGAAAGTTGGCTCCCTGTGCTACGCCAGGAAGTTTTTCTCCCCGGAGTCGATCCTCCAGATCTACAAATCAACAATTCGCCCTTGCATGGAGTATTGCTGCCATATATGGTCTGGTGCCCCTTCTGTTTGCCTCGGAGTTCTTGATAGGCTCCAGAGGCGGGTATGCAATGTGGTTGGCCCTGCCTTGGCGTCTCGTCTACAGTCACTTTCTCACAGACGCGCTGTCGCCTCCCTCTGTCTGTTCTACAAATACTTTCATGGAAATTGCTCCAAGGAGCTGCATTCGCTGGTTCCCAGACTTCATGAGTTCAAGTGCCATACGAGGCTGGCATCCCACTCTCACCCCTTCACTGTCAAAACTCCTAAATGTAGCCGTCTCTTCTACTCCAATAGCTTCATGCCTCGCACCTCTCGCCTGTGGAACTCCCTTCCCTATTCCTGTTTCCCTGTGAGCTATAATCTCCAGCTATTCAAGTGTAATGTCAATCAACATCTCCAGTTGCCTTGATCTATCCACTACCCTCATCCTGTATTCTATCACTCCTATATGATCTTGCTCTAAATTTTCTGTAACTCGTTGCGTCCTAGTGGCTTCCCGCCTTGCTTGGGGTGAAATGCTTAAAAAATAAATAAATTATAAAACTATCTTTTGACTTCTTGCTTTCCAGTCAAGTTTGATCTTCAAAAATTTAAGCGTAAATATAAATCGCTATCTTCTGTCTTAATTCTTGTTATTTTATTTCCCTATTAAGGAGATCCTTAATAGTAGCCTTTGTCATATTCTCTAAAACTAGAAACCCCTTGCGTCCTAGTGGCTTTATTGTCTTGTTTGGGATGAAATAATTAAAAAAGAACATAAAAACCTCTGAAAATATCTTAAAGAAGTTTATTTTTGCTTTTGAAGAAATTCACATAAAGGCAATCAGCAATAATACTTCAAGTTTGTATCAACAGCAAAACTGGGCTTGTAAAAACAGCACGTTTTATAATAATATTAGTACTTTTAATCCCTCCGTTTTTTTTTTTACTTAATCCGAAGTGCATCTACAGGATGCCTTAATTGACTAGAATAATAGAAAGACAACGTATAGCTAAAAATATTATTTCAGAATGGCGAAAAAGTTTCCCAGATTAAGTTGTGCTGGTCTTTAAATCTGCTGATTTTAGGAGAACTTATCTGATGTATGAAACACCTATTTTTTCTTTAATTGCTACCTTTTGATGGATATTCAACACATTTTCACAGAGGCTAATACTACCAATCACGTCTTTGATTCGTGAATGATCTTGCTGCAAACTGGCTTATTTAACTTCGAACCCGCTTCCATCAAAACCACATTATTGTTTATCTTCTGCTATAAAAAATAACTTTTCTTTTAGTGATTTTAAACAATCAGCAAAAAGCATACTTATCTTGAATAGTGGAGATATGAAACATTTGACCAACGTACCATACTTTATTATAAGTCGACACAATCTTAACAGTATGAAATGCATAGATGACACTGTATTGATGGCAGATGCAGAAAAAACTGCTGGAAGACCTAGTAAAGGATAGTGATAAGCAAGGACTAATTATCAATTGTAAAAAGACAGAATGTATGATCACTAGCAAGAGGAACAGACCAAAACGAAGCCACATTGGAGTAGAGAAAGATGCCTTCCTAAAACTAAATAAAGTATTAAGAAACAGGAAAATCTCGTCGGAAACAATATAATATAAATCCTCCTATATGATAATGAATGCTGGGCATTTTCCTACCAGATGAAATAGTGCCTTGAGGGCACAGTGGTGTGCTTCTACAGAAGGATGCTGAGAATACAATGGAAGAACATGTGAGCAACGAGGAAGTTTTAAGGAAAATAGGCAACAAAAAGAAGGACATTTCTACTTAGAACCAGAAAAATATTGTTGAAGTTTCTGGGACACGTAATTAGGTAGGAGGTCTTGCAGAATGTTTCGGGACACATTGAAGGCAGACGGAAGTAGCGAACTTGTATAAATAGATGTCCGAACATGGATTTGGCTGGGTAGTAAGAACCAATAACTATTTAGGGATGCAAAATGAAAGGTCATTGTTGAGAGCCATGATAGCCACATCAAGAAGAGAGAGGGAAAAAATTGTCGACATTTTTCGCTTTTTAATATAGAAAAAGGGCAAATTAGCGTCCACTTCATGTTTGTTAAAGGTTGCAAAATACTTCTTATGGGTCATTTAATGTCGAAATTTAATTTTCTTGGGAGCACTAATAATTTTTTTTTACAAAAATGTATTGCTGGTAATTTTTTTATTTATTATGAAAATGCATTTATGATATTTTCACTATAAAAATGCATTTTTATAGTTTCTTTGACTCCAGTTTAAATATTTGCCTATAACTAGGACCCTGACAGGTGCTACTACCCCGAGTCATGGTGGACCTGGCAACACCAGTAGTTTAAGAGGTGGTTCAACGCTTCTCAAAACTCCCGATCAGAGGCCTTGCTGCCGGATGTAGTTTATCGTCATACCCAGAACGAACTTTTCATTGTCTCTTGCCATATTCCATTTACGTTTTGATCGAAGTTAATTGATGTTAAACACGTTGGTTTTTCATATTAAGAAGTCTATCTTGAATAAGGATAACAAATTCTTTCGATTTTGCGTCATTATGTCAAAATATGAATGAAGAAATGTTACATGTCGTCTGCAGATGGAGTTGGAAGGCGGGAAACTGAATTGCGATAAGAAAAGACTAAACAATTCTTTTATGATTAATTCTGCACAAGGGACGACCACATTTTTGACAATGTCTGTCTCACCTTGTTAATATCTATCTATTTTGTTGTTACTATCAAAACCACGTAAGGATCGCCTAATCCTTGGAAATATATAAGCTATGCAATGTCCACTGTCAAATGTCAAATATCACTTTATCCATTGTTCTTTTAGCAAGAATAACATTCCAACACTTACTACAAGGAAATGCAACTATAATTTGAACACCAGATGCTAAGCTGATGCAGTTCATTGTCTTCAGATGTCACATTGTATACTTTGGTTAAGTGCACAAGAAAGTGACGATTTTGATTCACAGCAATGCTTTACTTTCTATACATGTGCCGTCATTTATTACGCTAAGTCTTGGTCATTTAGTGGCCGTCGCCTCCCAAAAACAGATGTCCAATAGAAAAGGTAAAAAAACTAATGGAACTGCGAATGTGTCGCCATGAGACGCTGGACCGAAAACGTGGGTATTCTTGTCTCTGAGGTGACAATTCGTCCAGTTTTATTTTTTCTCTATATACAGTAACTAGAATACAACGGGAATATTCTAGATAGACAACAGCGGGCTGTGAAAAGTGCGAGCACACACACATAAAAGAACGTAGATCGTCGGCAACTGACATGATTGGTAACCGCTTAACGAGGCGGCCATTGTATAAAATTTCAATTCAAAGTTGATGAAGCTCAATCGACCAGTCAACCCGATGTACCGAATAAACTGTCTTCTATAGAATTTTCATTTTCAATAGAAATTTAATCTATCTATCTATCTATCTATCTATCTATCTATCTATCTATCTATCTATCTGTTTCTTCACGTCTACCTCACTTTGTTCATATCTATCTATCTATCTATCTATCTATCTATCGCACTTTCTGTATGTCTATCTAATCTTGTTCATATCTGTTTCATGTCTGTCTCACCTTGTTAATATCTATCTATCTATCTATCTATCTATCTATCTATCTATCTATCAGTTTCTTCACATCTATCTCACTTTGTTAATATCTATCTATCTATCTATCTATCTATCTATCTATCTATCTATCTATCTGTTTCTTCACGTCTACCTCACTTTGTTCATTATCTATCTATCTATCTATCTGTTTCTTCACGTCTACCTCACTTTGTTCATTATCTATCTATCTATCTATCTATCTGTTTCTTCACGTCTACCTCACTTTGTTCATTATCTATCTATCTATCTATCTATCTATCTACCCCACTTTCTGTATGTCTATCTAAGCTTGTTCATATCTATGTTTCATGTCTGTCTCACCTTGTTAATATCTATCTATCTATCTATCTATCTATCTATCTATCAGTTTCTTCACATCTATCTCACTTTGTTCATATCTATCGCACTTTCTTTATGTCTATCTAATCTTGTTCATATCTATGTTTCATGTCTGCCTCACCTTGTTTATATCTATCTATCTATCTATCTATCTATCTATCTATCTATCTATCTATCTATCTATGTGTGTTCATAAATAACTTAACAAAGGTACCATTACTGACACTACCCCGTCAGTTATTGTTTGCTCGTCTGAACATCGCTATAAATTTGTGCAACACTGGCGCCATGTTGCTGGGCGAGACACGTTACGTTTCCATCTCTTTCGGGCCGTCGGTTGAATTTGTGCGTGGAGAAGACTGTATGAAGTTATGGATCCATCCTGTCAATAGGATATTGTTCAAGCTGCTGATGGCTCTGTAATGATGTGGGGAGTGTTTTGCTCGTGATAGTAGAGTCTGTCTTGACAGGCGTGACATACACACTTCGTGTTGCAGGCCATTTACCTCCATATCCACCTCTTTGTGCAAGAGTGATGGTTTGTTTCAGCAGGTTAACGCAACACCCAGTCTTGTGTAGGTGACACTGGTTTCATGAATCCTCAGGTGATT